GCCTCAAGGCAATAGACTTATTTATCATATTTCAACAGGTGCATCCAGGTACATTGCTCCCTAAAGGACAGATTAATTGTACTAATCCACAGCCCACCCCAGCCTCACAGCAGTTACTTAAATCAGAGATGCCCCACTACAGATTAGTCCTCTGTGAACAGATCTTAGGGTTTACAAAAATAGTCATTATATATCTGCAAGGCATTTGAATCACTGATTGTTAGGTCAATCAAGCTTTATAAACTGTGGTATAACTCACTGGTTTGGTTTTTTTTAAACAACACTTTCACCTTTAGTCTTACTCCAAAACCATGGGCTTCTTTCTTAGAAGTATAATCAAATGGCTCATCCCACCTTTCTCCAAACTAGAATTCTCATAGCATCTTCCACCCCTAAAGCACCAAGACTGCCAAATGCATGATGAATCTTGTATGACATACCTATAGTATAGGGGTGGGCAATTATTTTGGGCGGAGTGCTGCTTACTGAGTTTTGGCAAGCCATCGAGGGCAGTGTGACAAGCAGCCGGGGGGCAGATAAATATTAATTTTCTAAATTTTTAGGGGCCCCACAGGCCGGATAGAATGGCCTGATGGGCTGCATCCAGCCCACGAGCCACATTTTGCCCAATCCTGCTATAGTATATACCTTTCAATATGCAGTCCTTTTGTAACCCTCTCTGCTCTCGCTGAGCCCTTGCCTTCACAAACTTTATGCCAAATAAGAAAATTTACAGTACTCTTACCAGCAAGCAGTAACATCTCATTCAGAGAGGGGTGGGATGTATAGTTTTAACCATAGAGGACAGGAAATGATTTTTTTCTATATTCCCCAAATTTTCAGAATTTCAAAATGTTCCCATTCCAGGTCAGGATGAAACCAAGACCTTTCCAAGTTTCTTTGGGCTATATGCTGTTCAGGGATGGATGACTGTGAAACTGTCCTGTTAATGCTGTTCCACTGTGTAAATTATTAAATATTTGTGGAGTGGGCAGAGGAGGAATGTGTAGAATAGGGGGGGGAGAAAAAGCAGCTCTCTAAGTATAGCTAGCTCAGTAGTAAGAGAGTGGCTTGGAACAGGGGGAACCTAGGTTCAAGGCTTTGGTCTGATTTAAACAGAGCAGGGACTTAAATCTGGGTCTCCCACATCTCAGAGAAATTCTTTGGATGGGAGGTTGTGCATCTCTTTCTCTCAAAACTCCAGTCCAGACCTCAGATACATTTTCCAGTTCAAGTTCTATTAAAACTGGTACATTTCTACAAGCAGCTTTGCTTTCAACAAATAGACAGTTTCTGATTAAAAAAAGAAGTTTAATCAAAACAGTTCTAATCAGTTAAAAACACCAGCACTACAGCTTCCCACTGACAGTACAGCAACCTTTTGACGACAAGCCCCTGAAAGAGCAGCAGATCTGGGAATCGTGATAAACTTATCTGACACATTGGCAGTACATAGCCTTCAGGTATTAGAGATTCCTTCTGCAGAGAGATAAGACAGCAAGCAGCCAGTAACCTTTTGCCTCAGCATGTCTCATCATTGCTGTGCATGCTTTTGTGCCCTCTTACTTTAAAGCAGGGGAGAAATCTGACTTTTTCAGTCCATGGAATCCATGGTCAACTTTGGAATTTATTGGTTAGAATAACAAGGGCTTTGGCTTGGTTCAGTCTATTTGTTCTGGACGTATCAGCAAAGCAAACTGAACAACATATTTATTTTTCATATAAAAACTGAGCTAATCCTGTGTCACATTAGATTTCTTCCCAGTCACTTGTTTTGAAAGTGAAGAGCTAGGAAAAGACTTCATAAACTACACAGAAATATGGGGACAGAAGGTCCATTGAACCCTCTCTGGGGAATGGCTCCAGAGAACTATTACCTGGCAGTATAAATTAGAGAAACCTTTAAGACAGTCTCTAGATTTGATGGAAACCTTCCAGCCACTTTTGTGCATTATTCCTCAGGTAGTGTGTCAAGTACAAGTCAACGGGCTGAAGTCAGGCTCTGGGGCAGTAACCTGTTGCTTAGCCTCTATGTAAGCAAACCAAAAACCCCAGCAATTGAATTTTAGACTCAGTGGGCGTGTCTACACATGAATTTACACACACCTAAACTTAATGCACTTTAGTCTAAGGCGCATTAAGGTGATTTAGGTGCACGTCTACACGTGGATAATTTAAGGTGCCTTAACACAGCTCACTGGGCAGCCTGTCCCAGTCAGCACCCTAGATAGCCCCCAGAAGCTCATGGCAGCATACCAGGAAGTGCAGACAGCCAAAGGGGTAGGGGCTTGGCCTTGGATCAGGTGGGCCAAGAGGAGAGCCAAGCCCCTGCCCATGTTGTGCCTAGCCTGCCCAGGCTGAGCTGTTCACAGACCCCAGGAGCTGACAAGCACAGTATCAGCTAGAGGCCAGGCACTTGCCTGGGACAGAGGTGGGTGGAGCAGGGAAAGCCATGCTGGATGCTG